GCTATGCAGTCAGTTATATATGTTCCTTGAAGACAAATTGTGTTGAATCAGGATATACATTGGTCATTCATAATAAAAATCACTAAATGGTAGCACTGTTACGACACCAGCCTTGTACAAAGCGGACACATATCGATGTAGAAATACACAGTGGTAAATACATAAGAATTGCACGGCATTTGTATGTAACCGATTTGCGTTCATACGCCTTATATTTGCATTATAGACTTTTACTTATCATTGACCTAAATAGAGAGATTCCCATATAAAATGGGTATTTACTCTGTTTCTAGAACACGTTGGACATGGGTATTAACTCTGTTTCTAGAACACGTTGGGCATGGGTATTTACTCTGTTTCTAGAACACGTTGGACATGGGTATTTCCTCTGTTTCTAGAACACGTTGGACATGGGCATTTACTCTGCTTCTAGAACACGTTGGACATGGGTATTTATTCTGTTTCTAGAACACGTTGGACATGGGTATTCACTCTGTTTCTAGAACACGTTGGGCATGGGGATTTACTCTGTTTCTAGAACACGTTGGACTTGGGTATTTACTCTGTTTCTAGAACACGTTGGACTTGGGTATTTACTCTGTTTCTAGAACACGTTGGGCATGGGGATTTACTCTGTTTCTAGAACACGTTGGACATGGGTATTTACTCTGTTTCTAGAACACGTTGGACATGGGTATTCACTCTGTTTCTAGAACACGTTGGGCATGGGTATTTACTCTGTTTCTAGAACACGTTGGGTATGGGTATTTACTCTGTTTCTAGAACACGTTGGACATGGGTATTTACTCTGTTTCTAGAACACGTTGGACATGGGTATTTACTCTGTTTCTAGAACACGTTGGACATGGCTATCAACCATATTTGACTGGAAGTATCCCTAGGTGGTGGAGATTCAAAATTGTACAAATGGTTTTGCTGACCCCCCCAGGGGGCTGAGAGGCGGGGCCAAAAAGGGGTAATTTGGCTATATTGCTACAAAAAATCTTCTGTAGAACTATGCACTGGATATCAATCATATTTAATCAAAAGCATTCATGGGATGCAGGGATTCAAAATTGTACAAATGGTGGAGTGTGGAGCCAAAAGGGGGCAATTTGGCTATATTGCTATAAACAACTTCTTCTGTAGAACATATCATGGATATTGATCGGAAGCATTCATGGGAGGCAGGGATTTAAAATTGTACAAATGGTGGGGCTGACCCCCCGGGCTAAGGGGTGGGGCCAAAAAAAAGTGTATTGCTTGGAAATGGTTGAGATCCCCACCATATAACCATACAATTGCTGAGTATAAAGAGAAGAATGCACATTTGCTTCCAGGATGGCCCTATTGTCTGACCCCCCCCNCAACCACAAAACTATATATTCGAATGCTGGGCATAATGAGACGAATGCAGTCATGATATAAGAATAGACCCTGGGGTCTGACCGAACCCCTAGGGACCTAGTTTCTTAGTCACAGCTTGGAAACAGTTGAGCTCCCCACCCCATAACCATACATAAAATTGCTTGGCATGAAAAATCTAATACAGATATGCTACAAGGATTGGCCTTGGGGTTTGGTATATTCCCTTGGATCTCATTTGGAGAATATTTTGCCATGATTGCTTAGATACCCTGGTGAACGATACTGGCCCTTTTGGACCTCTTGTCCTTATCACTTAGAATAAAGTTGTTCCATTTGTATAACCTACCAGAACTGAAAAAGCTCAATATGCTGATGTCAAAGTACAACAGCTTAAACTCAATCATCCTTTTAATACTGCCCAATCGTGCCCTTTCTATCTCAAAGAGGTTTTTTGGAGGAAGACCGCGTATTGTATAAAGTCGAATAAATATAAGAACCACAGAGAGGAAGGCCGCGTGTTGTACAAGGTCGAATGAATGTAAGAACCACAGGGAGGAAGGCCGCGTGTTGTACAAAGTCGAATGAATATAAGAACCACAGAGAGGAAGGCCGCGTGTTGTACAAGGTCGAATCAATATAAGAACCACAGAGAGGAAGGCCGAGTGTTGTACAAGGTCGAATGAATGTAAGAACCACAGAGAGGAAGGCCGAGTGTTGTACAAGGTCGAATGAATAGAAGAACCACAGAGAGGAAGGCCGCGTGTTGGACAAGGTCGAATGAATATAAGAACCACAGAGAGGAAGGCCGAGTGTTGTACAAGGTCGAATGAATGTAAGAACCACAGAGAGGAAGGCCGCGTGTTGTACAAGGTCGAATGAATATAAGAACCAGAGAGAGGAAGACCGCGTGTTGTACATTAAGGTTGAATGAATATAAGAACCAGAAAGAGGAAGGCCGCGTGTTGTACAAGGTCGAATGAATATAACAACCACAGAGAGGAAAGACGCGTGTTGTACAAGGTCGAATGAATATAACAACCACAGAGAGGAAAGCCACGTGTTGTACAAGGTCGAATGAATGTAAGAACCACAGAGAGGAAGGCCCAGATTTCCCAACTTTCTTCCACGGTAAATAAAAAAAACTGGAATAATCTTCCTGGAAACATAAAGCATGTGAATAATCTAAACCATTTCAGATTGATGGTGAAAAAGAGCGTGAGTTCGAACTATGGTTGTGTTGACACCATGACGTAAGGCACAAACAGTCACTGTTTGGTCTTACCTCTGTTCGTTGAACTAACCTCTTCCGGGTTTGCCTCGGTAAAATCGTCTCCTTTTGTAAATCGGAATGTAAGTGTAACAGAAAAGGAAAAATGTACGGTCGGACCAGGATTCGAACTCATGACCCTCCGAACTGTATGTAGACGGACGTTCTACCAATTGAGTTTCCAGGTCGCTGGCGAACATCCCAGTCCAATTCCGCTACACAAGATAAGACCATGCACACAAAAGCTAACAGCGCCAAACTCCGAAGATGTAATGATCTTTTAGATGCTGAAGTAGATTGCTGTTGGAGTCTTACTAATGTAATCTCTTTGTTCGCTTCTCAAAGTAGACGTTCACTTTGTCGTAGACATCGCCATTACAACAGTTCCGTCGAATATAATATCACGTTTGGAGACATAATGTAGTGTCATTTTGATCGAAAGTCGATCTAACCCCCTTAAACATGTCAAATTACTCTGAACGCCTTATTTTAGGTCCAAATATAGCTGTTACAAATTCTCAGGCCCCTGTGCTTTACATCAGTAACATCCTACATCACCGTCCAAGCTACAATCGGACTTCTAGTACAACCCCCCCCCCCCCCCATATTACCCATAATGCAAAGTTACTAGAGCTTTCATTAGCTGGGTTCCTTAGTATCGAGAAACCCCGCCTATCCATTGGAATGTGAATTTAAAGATTCACGTAGATTCTGTGGAAAAGATATGTCAGAAAATGGGCAAAACAAGAACATGCGGAATTGGATTCACTTTCAGAGTGGGTTATATCTATCAGGTACATCATTCATAAATGATTCGCTTCTTGAAATCCAAAACATCTTTTAATTTTTCGAAAGAAGAAATATTAGCGTACATGTACTGTCTGACATTTTTTTTCATACGATGCTTACGAGGACTGGTTACAAAACCCTTGTTATAAAGAAAATACAGTTTCTCTTTTTGGTATATCGACAATAATAATAATAACAATATTTTATTTTTTATTTTTTATTTTTTTTATCTAATTTTTCATTTTTACATGGTGACATATTTAAACATAGCCTAGTTTACAAAAGTACGGCCCTGTTATACATATATGTACAATGTACAATGTTAAAAAACCAAGAAAATTATTGACCACGTACGTCGATCGTATGTATGAAATCAAGGAGGGCGGTTTACTTCTAAGATTTATGATAAGTTTGACGATTTCTTTTTTCCGAGTGTGAATTTTACCTTTCTTGATAGTAACATCCCTGCTCCGCAACCACCGGTTTTTAGCTCACCTGGGCCCACTTTGTATAAAACATCTCAAAGTTAAGGAAAAACTCAAGCAATGTATTGTCTATGGGAAATCTTAGACTTGAGGAAATCTCAAGAGTTGAGATGTTTTATACAAGTGGGCCCTGGCCTTATGTGCCATGTGAGCTTATGCCGTACTGCGGCGTCCGTCGTCCGTCCGTCTGTCAACTTTTTCTTTTGAACGACTTCTTCTGAAGAACTGGTGGACCTAGGGTCATGATATTTGGCCATTAGGTACCTGGGATGGATTCCTAAAAAGTTGTCTCATTAAAATGACCTTGACTTTCTTTCAAGGTCACAGAGGTCAAATATGTTAAAAATTTCAAACAACAACATCTTAAGAACTATTTGGTTTAGTCATGATACCTGGGTATGTTCTGTAGACCAGCTGAGTGAATCGCTTTTATTTATTACAGTAATGAGGTAAACTGTTAACTTTAAGCGCTAGTCGAGGGTCAGAGATCAACATGGGTTAAAAGCTTTAAAATTCAAATTTCAAATTTCAAACAACAATATCTTAAGAACCGTTAAAGAGATGTTAAAATGTCTTGTGTTCTAGTTACCAAATTTGGTCTGAAGTTACCTATGTGTCAGTTTCATGTAACACACGAAACGAGTGAGCGATACAGGCCCTTTTGACCTCTTGTAACATATCGCAGCTGATTCGGTATGCAATTAACTGTTCCAAATAACCGGCATTCCGTGATAAATGTTTTAGAATTCTCTGTATATATTTTAATTTCATTAGTTAATGCATTTTTACAACTAAATAAATCGACAGGAATTAGGCCAGTAAACAAATACTAACAAGTGCGCGTGCTGCAAACAGGTTCGTTTTTGATTACTGGTGTGATTAGCGTAAGCGTGGTTATTGACACCCATCCGATTGCTGCATTACTTTGTCGAGCCTACATGTTTAAGTGTTTTATTACTGGGTACACTGACGGAATATTGGATGCCTTACGCTCTAGTGGTTATATCGTTAAAAACGATACATGATAACAATCAGATGTTTACAAACAAATCTAAGCTGAACGGCGACGGTTTCTTCATTCCTACCTGCACAATAATGATCTCCATGCGTGTTCTCGGTTTGCTGCTGACAATGGCCACGGCATATACGCCGTCCGACAGTCAGCAGTCACACGCGGTCCTACAGCCACCACGACACTGTGTAAAGGTTCTCAGTAATCAAACCCAGGAAACAGATTTAAACTGTAACGTACTCACGGGTACGGTATGGACGTTCGAATGGGTTCAACACTGGGCGAAGGAACATGTGCAGTACGGACTAAATGTATACATCAAGTGCGAGCCGAACAGCACGGTCATCTTACGTCAGCCAATCAAAGCTTTCCTTTTACGGAAGCTGGATATCAACTCATGCGGTCTACGACAAATGTATGACTATGATTTGACAGCGGATACTGCAGCTTTAGCCTTTACAGTCCGGACACTTACGATTCAAGACTCTGTGTATTTCATCACGTTCAACGAGTTACAGGCCCTCTACATAAAATACAGTCGTGACGTCATCTCCAAATACCCGTGCTATCTGCCGCCATCCGTCGAGAAATACGTAGAGCGAAATGTTAGCGTAAAGTCGGAAGGATATGGAACCAAACAACAGCTTATGGAACTGAGAGAGGCCTCTCGAAACCACAAGTTTAAGCTTCCACAATGTGAGTACCAAGAATTAAGATACTATGAAAAATCGTTTTCACGAAAGAATAAACTAAATTTTGTGCGTAGATTTTTAGATAAAGGGAAATTTCCATCCCTTGAAGTTTTGAATATATCCTCTTTGCAACTAGACAGGATTCCTTCTGAGCTTTTCCGTGAACACTGGCCAGAGAAATTCCCGATGATGAAAGTTGTGGACATCTCAGCTAACAACATTGGACAAATACCGTTTGAGTTTCCACCTAGCTCACAGTGCAATATAACGGTGAACATGACGAGAAATAACATCACTGTTCTCACGGAATCAGCTCTCAATAAACTTGAAACGTTTTATCCTGGCAGAATTCTACTACAAGACAATCCCTTGTCGTGTGCGTGTAAACTTAAACCACTACTGCATTTTGTGCGCTATTCCGTGAAGCAATTTGTTCAACATTACGGCTATTTGAGAAACCTGACTTGTCAATCTCCTGTGATCGTTCGGGGCCGCGCTGTGGGCGATGTCTCGTTCAGAGAGGTCTGTCGGGACGAAGGGGAGGAGGAAGCAACAACTGTTGAAAACATTCCGAGCTACGTCTTCTTCATCACTCCACCGATATTCTTATTACTAATCACAGTAATAATGGTATTTTTTCGCTTTCGAAAAGAGCTAAAATTAATAGCGTTTACCAGGTTTACTTTTAGGAGAAATAGAACCAACCGGGAGGATTTAGCTACAAAGGAATACGACGCCTTTGTTTCCTACAGCTCCCAGGACGAGCTATTTGTGACAAGGATGTGTACCCGTCTAGAAGGACCACCCTACCAGTTCAAGCTATGTCTACACTACAAACACTTCGTGCCGGGGCTTTGTATATCGCAAAACATTATCGAAAGTGTCGAGAGGAGTAGTCATACTATCATGATTCTCTCCAACAACTTTATTGAAAGTGAATGGTGTATTTTGGAATTCCGCAAAGCGTTCCACCAAAGTTTGATTGGGCACAACAAACATTTGATTGTGATACTACTGGAGGATATTGAAAACGACTGTCTACAACCGGATATGACGTATTTTCTACAGACACATACCTATCTCCGCGCGGACGAATACCTGTTTTGGGACAAACTTGTATATACACTGTCGAACAAACGAATCGACCGCGACAAGAACGCATTTTCTGTTGATATGGCATGCGCAGGTAAAGACAAGAAAAATAGTCGCCCATTTAATAGGGGTGATGAGATTAAAGAACTCGACGCAACCATACCTTTAAGTTCTACTTAGAAATAACGTTCGTGTGACAAATACTCTCAGGGAAGTACATGGAGGAAACTAACTGTATCGTCCCGAAGGATCAAATGTGCCTTTATGGGACAATGTTCAAACTTCGGTAGAGACAGCTCTTAGTTACTGTTCTAACATTATTTAACTAGGTGATATTGATTTGTTTAAAGTACGAAATCCTAGGCTCAACGAAATAATTTTCCTGTTCAACATAATAAATATATTAGATGAGCCTACCCGAGTTACTGCTAACTCAAGTACACATATTGATCCGATAGTTGTAAATGCTCTGTCAATGTTCTTGAAGCTGCTGTTATCCCTGTCGGCAATAATATTACTAGATGTAGAAAACTGTACAATAGATGTAGAAAACTGTACAATAGATATAGAAAACTGTACAATAGATGTAGAAAACTGTACAATAGATGTACAATAGATGTAGAAAACTGTACAATAGATGTAGAAAACTGTACAATAGATGTAGCATGCGACGGGACTGGAAATGTCATTAAGGGTTTCTTTGGTTATCTTAATAATAGTGTTTGCAGACAGGTATCATGTTGATAAATGTTTGTCTCCCCACATAACTTCAAACTTATCATGCAGATATATAGTTGAGTGTGGTTTGGACATCGGGGTCAAGAATACAGACTGGTATTTTGTTTTCATTTTGGATTTGAAGCAGCTAATTTGTTTAAATGATTGGCCTGTTAGAATTGACAAATTCTGAAAGAATATCAGTTCTGTATGCTTTCGTTTTGCCCATTGTCTGGCGTCATTTTCCAAAGAATAAAACATTTGAATGTTTGAAGCACCACTGTGCATATATAAAATAAAATACCAGAATAACTGTTATATTGTGTTTGTATATAATTTCCCACCTCTCTAATTTATGACCTGATTAGTATTCCCTGCGTCCCTTGTAAATACCTCGTGATTGGTATATCCCTGCGTCCCTTGTGAACACCACGTGATTGGTATATCCCTGAGTTCATTGTGAATACCACGTGATTGGTGTATCCCGCGTCCCTTGTGAACACCACGTGATTGGTGTATCCCGCATCCCTTGTGAACACCACGTGATTGGTATATCCCGCGTCCCTTGTGAACACCACGTGATTGGTATATCCCTGCGTCCCTTGTGAACACCACGTGATTGATATATCCCGCGTCCCATGTGAACACTACGTGATTGATATTTCCCGCGTCCCTTGTGAACACTACGTGATTTATATTTCCTGGGTCCCTTGTTAATGATAATTGATTGGTATTTGCCGCGTCCCCTTGTGTACACTACGTGATTGATATTTCCTGGGTCCCTTGTTAATGATAATTGATTGGTATTTCCCGCGTCCCCTTGTGAACGACACGTGATTGGTATTTCCCGCGTCCCTTGTTAATGACAAGTGATTGACATTTCCCGCCTACCTTATGAACAACACTTGATTATTATTTCCTGTGTACCTTGTAAACACCACCTGATTGGTATTTCCCGCGTCCCTTGTGAACACCACGTGATTGGTATTTCCCGCGTCCTTTGTTCACGACCACCGTCATTTTTACAGATACTTGTGTCCCTTGTTCAAGGACAGTAACTCTTTATAATTATACGTATACTATGTTTCCATGCAGTGTTAACATTTACGCGCCACTCTCACTCTTTCTCCTATCTCACTCCACATTGTAGAACAGACTGCCGCAAATACTCTTTTTTTCCTAGGACTATCCCAGATTGGATCAACCTCCCACTAGGGTAAGGTTTTGACAAATGTAAAGATATAAGATTAGTTTTCTGTGATATTAGCAAAGCATTTGATACGGTATGGCATAAAGGATTTCTTTATAAACTTAAAAAATATGGTATCTCTGGTAATCTTTTTTAAATGGTTTGAAAGTTACTTATCTGATAGAAAACAACGTGTTATTTTTGAAGGTTATGCTTCTAATTTTAAATCAATTTCTGCTGGTGTACCACAAGGATCTGTTCTTGGTCCCTTTTTATTTCTTATATTCATTAACGATATTACCCATGAAATTAACACTAATGTAAAACTTTTTGCTGATGATACGTCACTTTATGTTATTGTTGACAAAGATGTAATTTCTCCAGCAGAAGAACTTAATGATAATCTTGAATCCATTAATAATTGGGCAAAACTCTGGAAAATCAATTTTAATCCTCAAATAACTATTGCATAGCTGTAACTAAGAAATATAGACAGCATCCATTACTTATATTTGATAATCAGATAATTCATGAAAATAAATCTCATAAACATCTTGGCGTAGTATTTAATACTAATGGTTCTTGGGGTAATCATGTTAAATATATTTATGATAAATTATGTAAAAGAGTAAATATTCTACGTATGCTAAAACATAAAATTGATAGGAAAACTTTAGAATTACTATATCTCTCCTTCATTCGTCCTACTTAAGAATATGCCTCTTCTGTCTGGGGTAATTGTAATATTGGGGAAGAAAAACTACTGGAATGCGTTCAAATTGAAGCAATGAAAATTATAACTTGCCTTAGAAGTGGTACATCTCATCAAAATTTACTATGAAACAGGTTTTGAAAAATTAAAAGATCGACGGAATAAGCATAAACTTGTCTTAATGTATAAAATCCTCAACCACTTAACACCTGATTATTTATTTGACATCATTGAACCTTATATTAATATACAAGTCAATCACCATTTAAGGACAAAAATATTTTTTAACATTCCTCATTCTAGAACTTGTATCTACAACTGTAGTTTCTTTCCTGATGTCATGCGCCTATGGAACAATCTCGATCATTCAGTCACTTCTTCTCGGACTATCAATTCCTTCAAAAAGAAAATTAGTAAAATTCAAACACCTCCCAGGACCATTTCTGAAGCTTTCATCACCTGTAATCCAAGAAAACTAAATATTGTATTGTGTCAATTACGTAATAATGCTAGCAATTTAAATTTTGATAAATGTAATGATCACTTGATAGTTGATCCATCTTGCTCTTGTGGCGCATCTTGTGAAAATGCTGAACATTATTTCTTCTTATGTCCACTTTATATTAACTATAGACATTTCATAACTGACATCACTAATCATTTTGGATATTCATCTGTTGATCTACTTACATCTAGTAATGTTTATCTATCTACTGATGATAATTGTGTATGTGTGTGTGTGTGTGTGTGTTTGTGAATGCTTATTTATTATGTGTATGTGAGGATGTATGTGTGTTATGGTATGGTTGTAAGTGTATATGAGTGTGTCTCGTTGATCCATGTACTAAATGTATGCTTCTTGTCAATTAATACCGGATAGGAGAAGACTTATATAGGCTAAGCCTGTTGTCTTATCCAATTGTGCAATTTTTTGTCCAATAAAATTTGTTGAAATCAAACCTCCTACTAGACCTGGTCTCATCTGAAACTTTGGAAACCTTTAAAAGTCGTCTCTCCTCTCTACAAAATTAGCTCTATTCTCACTCTCTTTTCCTGTACATTCTTCAATATGATGAAGTAGGTCGATAATCAGGTAGAAGTTGAAGTAGAACACTTTTTAGCGGGAAGTCGATTCACAAAAAAAACTTTCACAGAGGAAAAATGATTCGTATGAAATTAAAACAGAAAAGGTCCAGAGTTATTTTACCAGGAAACACTGACTTTTCCAACATGAAATTGCTATTTAGGTTATATAAACAGTTGTCATTAACCTAGAAACAGAGTTGAAATGTCACGTATTTGGTATTAACGAGCCAATTTCCGGCACAGATACCGGTGAGATTTACAGAGGAAATTCAGCCTACGCTGTAATACGCTCGACTGAGTTTGATCAAGTAAATGATGTACGAACATGTATTACCTGATGTGTAGCACGTGCTTGTTACTATATAACTGTCAGGTATAGCTAGCTTGGAAAGACACTGAACCAGCACAGGACTAGATTGGGTGTGTGTCTGTCTACACTGTACCAGCACAGGACTAGCTTGAGTGTGTGTCTGTCTACACTGTACCAGCACAGGACTAGCTTGGGTGTGTGTCTGTCTACACTGTACCAGCAAAGGACTAGCTTGGGTGTGTGTCTGTCTACACTGAACCAGCACAGGACTAGATTGTGTGTGTGTCTGCCTACACTGTACCAGACTAGCTTTGGTGTGTGTCTGTCTACACTGTACCAGACTAGCTTTGGTGTGTGTCTGTCTACACTGAACCAGACTAACTTTGGTGTGCGCTATACAATCCAACATGAAGGGAACTAACATCTTTTTAGAAGGGTGAGTTCGGGAATCCAAATTATCTTCAAAATATATCTTTACTTTATAAAACGGTATTGAGCGCATGAAAAGCATTCATATAAGGAAAGTGTTATAGTATATATGTCAGTTGTCCGATTGTCCTCGCTAGAGTAGAATGCTAAAATGTTCTGAGTTTTTGTTCTATTGATATAATTAACTAGATCCCTGTATAAGGTTGACCTCCACGTTAGTTCAAAATCGTGAAAGCTAACTTCGTTTATGTCACTGTATGTGCTCATTTTTCATGACAACGCATTCTGCTATTCGAATATAATGTAAATATGTCAACACAACGTTTTGTAACATAATTATTATATAATTTAATAATATAATTCATTAAAATGTAAATAATCCTAAATTGATATAAGTAATAATCAAAAGGGTTCGGTGCGTTGTTGTAAACGAAATAAGAGATGGAAATGACAACGAGATCTTTTTGTTTGTGTTTTTGTTGAAGACTGACAACGTTCCTCCTGCTGTTGATAACACACCCAAGCGGCCAGACTGCCGTGGTGGTAGGTTTAGGTATGTACGATGTATTGTTATATTGCTGTTGATAACACACACAAACGGCCAGACTGTCGTGGTGGTAGGCTTAGGTATGTACGAGGTATGGTTATATAGCTGTTGTAACACACACAAACGGCCAAACTGCCGTGGTGGTAGGCTTAGGTATGTACGAGGTATGGTTATATTGCTGCTGATAACACACACAAGCGGCCAGACTGCCGTGGTGGTAGGCTTAGGTATGAACGAGGTATGGTTATATTGCTGTTGATCATTACACACACAAGCGGCCAGACTGCCGTGGTGGTAGGCTTAGGTATGTACGAGGTATGGTTATATTGCTGTTGATAACACACACAAGCGGCCAGACTGCCGTGGTGGTAGGCTTAGGTATGTACGAGGTATGGTTATATTGCTGCTGATAACACACACAAGCGGCCAGACTGCCGTGGTGGTAGGCTTAGGTATGTACGAGGTATGATTATATATATATATGTATCGACAGAGTGTTGGGAGTAATTATTGAAAAAATCTGATATCTGATATATTTTTTAACAATAAACATTGATTGCTAACAGTGACCTTCGAATTGCCTCTTATCACTGTTAATACAGAGAATTGCCATTTAATGCTACCCAAAATAACCGTTGTCAATTGTTATACAGAACAACACTATCAACAACTATAATAAAAAAAAACAGTTCAGATTGTTTTTTTTAAACAGTGCCGTTAATAACTGGTTTCTTTTCTACCATTAGACCTCCCAGTACAGATTTCAGTTCAAGAACGTCTGGAACCTCTAGAACTGGAGCCTTTGGAGTTACCGGAAGTTCCGGAAGTACAGGAGACACAAGAACAACCGGAAGCCATAGAACCACTGGAACCACTGGAACCACTGGAAATTGAACCACCGGAAGATCCGTGCTCTTGTGCGATACGCTGCTGCGCCAATCCGTTCGAATTAATGCGGTCAACTTTACTGCTAAATTTCCATTTACCGGAAGTCACAAGCTTATCGTGTTGTGGATGTACGTCATGTCCGGCTGGTTATTTCATTGTACCAGTTTCCCGCCCTTTTGCACTTTCAATGATGACGTCAATGGCGTCGTTACGGACGCCGGGCTAACACACATGGCGAGGTCTGATCATTAAGTGAAAATTTTAAGAAATATACTGTTCAATAGTAATGTTCCGAGAAAGCACCTTGCACGTGGTCACGTGACTACGCTCCATACAGCGACAACTGTCGGTATGTCTATCGGATATCAAAACTTTCTGATCTGTATCCTGGCTCAGTCACCCGTTCGGTAAACTCTTCGCTTTTTATAGACAGTAAAAATAGAATATTAATTTACGTATAAAAAGGTCTTACGGTATTTTAACAATTGTACGTATTGCATGACATCATAAATGAACTCAACCGAAAATTTTAACAAATAAAGATATGGTTTAAACAGGGACGTATATATACTGTCCCTGGTTAACATTACATGTTGTTGCGATACTATTTTTCTTTTCCTTTACCATTTAGCCAACACTGCAAACATAAATAAATTAAAATTATCAAAAAGATATTTTGTCGATTTTTTAGCTAGTTGTGAAGTGCCAGAGTATAGCTACGTCAGTTCCTGGAGCACAACATTCCAACCATAATAGAGTCGACACTAAACTAGGCCTAGTCTGTATTACACTGTATACACAGCGAATGTTCAGGATTCAATAAATGTTCTACGATCTATACAAGAATTATATTTTGTTTCCCATCTATATGACTTTATAAATATAATTTTGATTCATTGATTTGTTTGTTCTAGCTTGACTGTCCGTCTTTATTAGCATGCTATGCAGACTCTAAAATATAAAAGACATGTGAAAAAAGACACGGACGGAGTTAAATCATATAAAACAAGATGCTATTGTCAGCAGTCGGTATTTATAACAGATGTCATAATATTCGGATCAAGATCTTTAATACCCATTCGACTACGACATGAAAACACCGTTTAGGGGAGCCTGGATGTCACTATCAAGTAAGGGAAAGCGCACAATTGGAAAGTCGAAATCGTCCGACTTATCTTATAGCTTAATAGCTGACTGTCCCTGGTGGTCATGGTAGAAGTAAAGATTGAGGAAAGCGGCTGAAGCAGAGGAGTCTGTACTATTCTTGATCTCTAGTGCAGGAGGGTAGACGACAGACGTGCCAATTAATTTCTTTGACAGCGCATCGTCGATATTTACGAACGTGAAATTGAAGGATTTAGCTAGGTTTTTGTTACCATAACCTGATAAGCTCATCAATACATTACCTATGAACAACAAAATCCAATTGGCCAGAAAAGGGCACAGTGTGTTCCCATAGGGATGCCTAGTCTACTAGATGTTAGAATTCAGTCATTATCACATGATCGTCCTCAATATTTCATTTTTGCCTTAGTTGTGCTCTTCACAAAAATATGCTCCAAAACATTTTACAACAATAAATTGATATCGTCGTTCGCCATTCTCGGAACAGAAAGTTCTCATTATAAGAGATCACAGGCGTTCCTTCAGCTAAGTGGGAGGTACTGTATACTATTGAAAAGTTGTAGATACATTTTTTTGGAATAAATAAATAAGTAATGATACTGGCATCTGACCACTTGTTGGCAAATGCGTCTTTGCTTAGATGCCTGACTACCAGAGGTCCATGTATAGCGGTACAAACAGGCTCGAAGAGTCAAATGTACGCCTCATCAGTAACGAGTTTGATGTGCTCCTAGGGCTTCTAGATTTCTATACAGGATGAGCTGACGTCAAAACTGCTCTACAGCTTAATATGTGAAGTTACATTTTCCTAACACAGGCATTTGTTTCTGTTATAAAAATAGTCCAGACAAAAATAAATCGCACCCTCTCATAAAAAATAGGTGTGATTTTTTTTATTGACAGAAACAAATGTCTGTGTTTCCTCACATTATTGCGTGTTTTTCACGTTATTACGACTTTCCAGTATTTTTATTTCTTATAAGTGACTCTTATAGGCTTTCGTAGTTTCCTAACTAAATTGACAGCATAACAAGGAACTGCCAATGGCAATATGGCCGGACTGCCACAGTAGAGGACCCTGTGGAAGATTAGCCACAGTAGAGGACCCTGTGGAAGATTAGCCACAGTACATTTTCATGTAAAGCATCACATGTGATAAGCATCCTTTAAGATACAAAAGCTATGCAAGTTCAGTTGGTGTACAAGAAGTAGTTACTTAGTAACTGACCTTAACCAAACTTCTTAACCTGGTCACTGAAGCGGAAAAAGTAGGTCAGAACCAGCATCCGAAACATCGCATGTGATAAGCATCCTTAGATACATAAGCCATGCAAGTTTAATTGTTGTTGGATAAGTAGTTACTTGGTAAGTGACCTAAACCAATCTTCTTAACCATAGTGTAGATGGGGCCTGACCTCAACCAATTCTTCTTAACCTGGTCAGTCAAGCAGAAAATGTAGGTCAGAAGCAGCATCCGAAGCATCGTATGTCATAAGCATCCTTAAATACATAAGTCATGCAAGTTAAGTTGATGTGGGATAATTACTAACTTGGAAACTTGTATTTATTTACTGAGCTGTACATCTACATATTGTATCTCAGGCAATCGGGGATCGTTGACACTTTCCTTAAACAAGAAAATATACGTTTACGGAAAGTGCCGACAGTTCTTGATTGCTAAACTGTATCTCAGGATATAGTTCACAGTGACAAACTTCTTGAACTCTGCAACAAGCATGCTCCAAACGACATGGATTTCGTGATAGATGTCGATTGCTCACAGACAAACTTACAACAGTAAGTGTTTTAGTGTTTTCAAAGATGCTGCAGCTTGATTCAGACTATGGACAAGTGTTGCGGTCGCCATCAGGACCTCGCAGGGAAATAGGCTATGTCTGTGATCTCCCAGGGAAATAGGCTATGTCTGTGATCTCGCAGGGTAATAGGCTATGTCTGTGATCTCCCAGGGAAATAGGCTATGTCTGTGAACTCCCAGGGAAATAGGCTATGTCTGTGATCTACCAGAGAAATAGGCTATGTCTGTGATCTCCCAGGGAAATCGGCTATGTCTGTGATCTCCCAGGGAAATAGGATATGACTGTGATCTCCCAGGGAAATAGGCTATGTCGGTGATCTCCCAGGGAAATAGGCTATGTCTGAGATCTCCCAGAGAAATAGGCTATGTCTGCGATCTCCCAGGGAAATAGGCTATGTCTGTGATCTCCCAGAGAAATAGGCTATGTCTGTGATCTCCCAGGGAAATAGGCTATGTCTGTGATGCTATGGACACTAATATTCTTCATAATGCTCATTAGAGTGCCGAATAGTTTTGCTATCACTACCCGTGTTCTCCATGTCAGGTCGTGACATTACTTACATTGGATTTAGCTTTAAGTGTCGGTGTCATCAATGGAGCTGAATACCCTGACCCTGTCAGAAGAACAGTGTCATCAATGGAGCTGAATACCCTGACCCTTTCAGAAGAACTCTGTGTCATCAATGGAGCTGAATATCCTGACCCTTTCAGAAGAACACTGTGTCATCAATGGAGCTGAATCCCCTGAACCTTTCAGAAGAACACAGTGTCATCAATGGAGCTGAATACCCTGATCCTTTCAGAAGAACACTGTGTCATCAATGGAGCTGAATATCCTGACCCTTTCAGAAGAACACTGTGTCATCAATGGAGCTGAATACCCTGACCCTTTCAGAACACAGTGTCATCAATGGAGCTGAATACCCTGACCCTTTCAGAACACAGTGTCATCAATGGAGCTGAATACACTGAACCTTTCAGAAGAACACAGTGTCATCAATGGAGCCGAATACACTGAACCTTTCAGAACACTGTTCTTACTCTCCTTAGGCTTCCATGTAAATCTTTCCTTTGGTCATAATTTGCCATGGTTTTATCCATTCTGAGTTTGAGTTAGGGTTTTATCCATTCTGAGTTTGAGTTAGGGTTT